TAGTATTTATAAATAATATTTATTGAATTGAAGATATCAACCAATGGATAATATTGTTTTTTAACACATCCCTTCGAACATTTTCCAGAAGAGTTTTCCCAATCTGCGATTTATTGTTCATATCATATGGAATTTCTTAATGTTACTCTACTCAAACAAATATTCATACAGAATTAAGTAGATGACACAATTAAAGCTTTTAATTGAAAAATTAATGTGCATACGTGTATTCATAACTATTATTTATTGAATCGAAAATATGAACCAAGAAAAAATCCATTCAAATTCATAATAAAACATTGTTATAATGATCCTAATAAAAAATTGTTATAATGATCCTAATAAAATTATTCTTATAATGATCCTAATAAAAAATATTGTTATAATGATCCTAATAAAAATATTGTTATGATTATCCCAATAAAAGTATTGTTATAATGATCCTAATCTATTCAATAATTTTAATGATTAGGCAAATATATAGAAAATAACTATCAAAGTATAAATCGTAAATATACTAATGCAAAGTAAATATATTAATATGTAAATATACTAATGCATACTAATTCAAAGTATAAATATAAATTGAAATTGTTTTGTTTATAATAACATAATACTATTTATTTTAAATTTCAATAAATGTGTTATTAATTCTAAAAACTTTTTATATATAAAATATTGATAAATTTCGTTTTAATTACTGATCGCATTTTTAATTACTTAAATAAGTAAATGTAATGTAAAAATTATTTAATTTGTAATTATTTTAGGAAGTGAAAATAATTGAAAAGTAAAAAAAAAAAAAAAAAAAAAAAAAATCAAACAATGAAAAAAAAATATGATTATAATGTTTTTTCACTAAAATTTTTACCAATTTTTGTTTCGTTTATAGATAAAAAAAACTGGCAAAAATGAACAAAATGAAAAAGTAATTAGAAATTTAATTGAAAGCATTAAATTATAATCATATTTTTATTCTTGAATTATAATTATTATTTATTCCTGGAATTAGTCATTTAATATGGACATAAAATATGTATTTATTGAAATACAAAAAATATTGTTACAATAATCTTAGTTTCAATACATAATTTTTAATTTAATTTAATGATCAGGCAATTATAAAACTTAACTATGTGAAAAATAAATTGTTAATTTATACAGAAATGCTTTTAATTTTTATGATGAATAACAATATTTATTATTTATTTTATTAAATATAAAAATGCTCTGAAAATTCATTTAAAATTGACAAATTTTATTTTTGTCTGATAAAATTTTTAGTAACATAAATGTTTAATTTTCTCTTCATATTTTAATAGTTAAAAATTGTTTTATTCAATTACATTTGAAAAAAATTAAAGAAAATTAAATTAAAAATAATTTAATTACGAATAATTGTACTTTAAATAAATAAAAATATAGGAATTATACTATTATATTATAGGAACATTTTAAAATGAGTTATAAGATTTTAATTATTATGTAATTTTTCAAATCTCCATAGGATAAGTAATTAAGTTCTATTATTGAAATTAGTAACAAAATAAGAAAGCCTTCTCAGGCATACAGACTTACACAAGAATAAGCATATTTAGCGCAACCCAACGCTCCTGCTGAATTCCGACTGTATGACGAAGTTTTTTCATATATCTCATCTTTTTTTACTTTAAATGTGTGTTAAATATTAACTAAGTGTATCTGATTGGATTTTCCGTGTAAAAAAAGTGTTCTAACAGTGTTTCAAGTTTGTTCGAAAAATAACCACACCACTACAAACCTAAATTTTCTTATCAAACTGTCTTCCACTAAAGCTATTAACAATTTTTTTCCATTTATAAAAGAAAAAAAAATGACAGCAATGTAGAAAAAATAGACATTAAATTTATAAAATTAAGTAAAAAATTCATTTTAAATTAAACATTATGTACAATTTTTAATATAATTTTTTTTGTAAAATTAGATTATTAGGAAACGACTAAGAACTGAGATGACTCAGAAAAGTAATGATGTAATAAGGATGATGAGAGAATTAAGAAAAGTAATGATGAAATAATGATGATGAGAGAACTAAGAAAAGTATTAATGAAGTAATGTTGATAATAGAACTAAGAAAAATAATGATGCAGAAATGATGATGAGAGAACCAAGAAAAGTAATGATGGTGTTTCCTTATTATTGAGAGAACTAAAACAAGTAATGATGGAGTTTCATTATTATTGTGAGAATTAAAAATTAAATTTTAGCAAAAAATCAAATCTTTTTTTTTACAAATAAAACTTGTATTTATATTAAAACTCTGATAAAAACAGACTTTGGTAGAAAAACAGTTTCATACGACTTTATTTGAATTGAAAAGCATTCATGCCGTAGTTATTTGAAAAGTATGCAGAAAAACCACGAATCGCGGGACCGTATTGACTTCAATTTTTCCGTCACCCCTCACAATAAAAAGCCAAAAGCATTAAATTTTTTATTCCTTTCTTGTAGTAAAAAGAGAACACGCATGCTGTACTAAAAATACTGAATTCGAGCAAAAGTTGCCTCCGAAAGAAAACAAATATTTGGCTTTGGCTTTCGGGATGACTTTCTTTTATTGTGTTGAAACAACTTCTTTTCAACCGACGATATGAATTGAATATTTTCCCCAGAAATAACGATGTTTGCAGCGGGGATGGAAAATGATTATGTACAAATAAAAAAAATATATATAGCAAAAGACTTACGACAAAACATATCTTTTATAACAAGTGGAAGAAATTTAATGGTAAAAAAATATTTATTTATTTGAGCTTAAACTGGTTCAGGACGCTGCAGTAAGCAATTGAATACCGCATATACGTGAATACATACATTAATTTTTTATTTAATTATTGGTTATACTAAATCTTTTGATAAAAGAATAATAATTTTATGTTGTTCTTAATAATTATTTTTAATGATGTATGAGGAAGCAAAAAAAAATATTCTGGAAAAAGCAGTACCCATGCATAATTTAAATGTGCAGTAACATTTAAAACATAATTATAAAAAAAACACATATATATTATATAAAAAAATATACACATACACATTAATATATATATATATATATATATATATATATATATATATATATATATATATATATATATATATATAAAGAGAGACTGAGAGGGAGAACAGAACATATAAGTACAAAAGTTAAAAGGAAATCTGATAATAAATTAATTAGAAACGCTGTCAGTTTGCATAATAAAGACGGTGTATATACACTACTGGTCATTAAAATTGCTACATCAGGAAAAACTGAAGGTAACAAAATGATATTTATTGGACAAATATATTATACTTGAAATAACAAGTGATTAAATTGCCAATAAATTTGGGTGCATAAATCCTAAGAAATCAGTACCCAGAACAACCAACTCTGGAAGTAATAACAGTACTTATAAGCCTGAGCATTGAGTCAAACAGAGATTGAATGGCATGTACAGGTACAGATGCCCATGCCCCTTCAACACGATGCCACAGCTCATCGAACAGCAACCGAAGTGACTGGTGTATGATAACGATCCAGTCGCTAGGCAATCATGGAACAGACGTTTTCTATTGGCGAGAGACCTAGTGAGCCTGCAGGCCAGGGCAACAGCCGAACATTTTAACATTTTCGGTATATATATATATATCTATATATCTATCTATATATATATATATATATATATATATATGAGGGAGAACACAACAGATAAATACAAAAGTTAAAAGGAAAACTGACAATAAATGAATTAGAAATGCTTTCATGTTATACTATAAACCAGACAAAAAACACTGAAATATGATCAAACTATGCAAAAAACTATTCGTTATACGAATTTCGTAAAGTGCTCCACACTCGGAAGTGTAAGAAAAAGGGGGGGGACTCGTATTGCGTATAAGAAATTGAAAGCATCTGAACAAACACAATTAACAAAGGGGTAAATGGTTAAATGCTTATCTTTAAATTTAAAAACGAAAATAGTTATACAAAATATATAATAATAGGGTGTGAAACAAGTTGGGTAAAAAAGTGTAGGTGTGTAGGGTGCAAGTAGGGTGCAAAATCTAAAATCTATAACTACTAATAAAACATAAAAGTAATTACAAAACCCACAAAAAGAATAGTTGTAACATTCTTAGAATAACTTTATCAAGGAACACGTAACCTCAGGATAACGATGTAACCTAGACATAGAACTGAAGGATAACTATGCAACATTGTAGCTTGCATAAAAATCGTGTTACTTGAAAGAACCACGTTACTGTTTATAATAAAATGGCTTGCAAGGAGATGATGCCAGGCTACGATTAGTTATTAGCATAATGAAACATCTGATTTGGCTGACATTTTCCCTGTTGCAGGTATTGCCGATAATTAGCAACGTGTGAAAATGGAAATGTGGCGTAGAAATTGATGGTTGATTCTACTTGAATTGATGAAATTGATTTCTACTTATATCTACATATATATAATATACGTTGTATACAGAATTATAAGAGCTACATATATCAATCTACTTCAGTGCAATAAAGGTAATTCCTTTCTTTAATTTTAAACCCTCTCAAAAATTATTAAATTATATTGTAATTTAAATAATAGTGCCTTTTTTCTGATGTAGTTTTGCTAAAATTACATCCGGGAAATTAGTGATTTTCTCCTTAAAATTGCAAACTTTTGTTGCGTTTCTTTAATTGTTGTTGTTGTTGTTTCTTATCCCACTTGGCTGGCCAAGCCCACGAGCCCATACGTACTCATGATTGAAGGGGAAGGAAGCAGCTTCTGTTGTGATGGAGCACCCGTGGGTAGAAGCCTGACTATTGCTCCGTGACGCTCTTACAATCATAGGAGACTGGGACCTACAGCTTAAAGTGGATTCCGAACCACTACAAACATCCATAGCACCGCCGGGATTCGAACCCGAAACCTGTGGCACCGAGCGCCAGAGCGCTAGACACTCGGCCATTCAGGTCCCAAATTTGCCAACGGCACGCGGTGTTCCCAGGTGGTCAGCCACCCAAGTACTGACCGTGCCCAATGATGCTTGACTTCGGTGATCTAACGAGAACCGGTATATTCAGCATGGTACGGCCGTTGGCTCTTTAATTGTACTTCATGTAATGAGAATACTCTAAATTATAACCAAAAAGAAACACTTAATTAAATATAAAATAAAATTAATTCATGCTATAACGATATAAACTTAAAAAATTCCGTATATTTTTTGTTCCCAATTCGTTACATACTTCATAGATGAAATGTGATTTTTTCTTGCAATTTTATTTATATTTCATTGAATTGTGTATTTTCATATTCATTCAAATATTTCCGCGTCCTTACATTTCGTTTTGACTCCTATATTATAAATACATGAAAGGAAATAAGACACAATATAACACTGAAGATTTATTTCAAACCAAAATAAGGTATATAAATACAGGAAGCATTTTAAATTTACATGCTTGCATTTATTATCATAAAAACATATGTATTGTTAACAATGCCTTTCTGTATTTTTTATAAAATGTGTCATGAACAAGATTGATATTGTTACTAATATATAAAAATATCTAAACATCTTTTTTCAAGAAATAAATATGAGGAGAAATGTCAAAACTTTTCGAGCATATTGTTTGAAAAAATTTTGATAATATCTTTGGTATTTACAGAAAAAAAAAACACAAAATAAGAAGCTTCCAACAAATTGTATAGTAAGAGATATGAAATATTCAGTAATAGATTTTTTACAAATGATAAGACGATATCTTTTTCATGCGACACTAGATTAGAAAAATATTATTGAATGTAGATTGTATTATTTTATTTTCAATTTTAAATAATTAATGATACATATTACCAGAACCATAATGAATTTATGGAAAACAATCTTCATAAAGAAAGAAAATTATGTAAAAATGATAAAAAAAGAAAATTATGTAAAAATGATAAAGAAAGAAAATTATGTAAAAAGGATTAAGATTTATGTAGAACATGCAAAATTGTTTTAATAACATAATCTAAAAAAATAATTATGTTTATTATGTTATTTATGGTTACCAAATAAATATTTTAAGAAAAAAAATTAAACTATTATTACTAAAAAAATTAAATTAAAAAAATAACTAAAAAAATTAAATAAAACTAAACAAAAAAAATTAAATTATTATTATTATTTCTTGATTATCATTTTTTTATATTTCAAAAAATGTATTTAATTTAATTAAAATATATATTTGTAAGATTTTTAATAATAAAATAACAAATTTTTAATAACCTATGAGTTTTAATTATGCAGAATATATTTTAAGAATTTTTATATACTCATTACAATTTAAATATACTTAAATATATAATGCAAATAATCATCATCTTAGAATACATATTATTTAAAACAGATCCATTGAATATAAATACAAATTATTAAGGAAATTGAAAATATTTTCTCTCTTACAATTGGTTTTAAGGCAAATTTTAAGAAATGATAGTAACGAATATACTAACCGATTTCAAGAAAAGATAATATTTTTAATTGAATACTATAGAATAAATTTACAGTATAGGGAGACATACACAAATTATTTATGCAGAACATTAATGTAAATAATTTTAAATTTAAATTTCTAATTTCAAATTAAGTAGTTATTACTTACTGCTACCACTACTATTGCTACTATATCTAGACTGTTCCTAGAGTTGAGAAGACCTTTTACAATTTGAGAAAAATGCTGGTCAAACTGTGTGGACGCACAACAAAAACGGAGTCAAAAGGAAAAGGCAAAGAAGAGGGCGAAGAGAAGGTATTAAGTTAGTAATTATCTGATAATTATCTATATGTTTTAATAATTATCTGATAATTATCTTCTATGATATAATAATTATCTGAGTTTAGCAAGAATAAAACAGACCTGAAAGGTGAAAAAAAAATGCGAGATGCGCTGGAATGAAGAGGGTAAAAAAGGTAAATTTTTTAGTCAATTCACTTTAAGTCACTGAACAGTGATGATATTATTTTACACAATAATAAAAATAATGATAATATATATATAAAAATATGAAATATCATAAAGAATCTAAGGAAGTATTAAAGGATCAGAAAGCAATATGAGAAAGAATTTATTATTCTAGAGTTCTTGAAAGTATATTATTTACATTATAATATGGAAAAATTTTATAATACTTTACAATACAATACACACAGAAATGAATAATATGTAGATCAGAAAATAAGATGGAGTATTCATCATAGCAATTAAAACGAAAAGGATGAAAAATTAGAAGTACGAATAACTAACTAACTCACTGACACTGCAATCCATGGTGGAACTAGGCCGTCTGCATACTGCCAGATTTCAAGACAGGGGACAGTTTCCTTTTACGGAGTGGGGTTGTCAGCCCTATGATCAAAGCTCTACTGTCATACTATATTGTAATGGGGAACTACATGGGGAACTATATATTATAATGACGAATTTAAAATGAATTCTGAACCACCTCAAACATCCATGGTACTGCTGTTATTCGAAACCGACAGTTATAGCACCTAGAAACAAAGCCCTAGTCACTCGGCCATCAGACCCTCCTAGAAGGGCAATAACACCTAGTAAAACGAGCTTAAAATTTAGTCGGTGAAGACAGATGGGACATAATTATGAACAATTTCTTATTTGAGAGCTAGAAATAAGAAAAAGCTCATAGCTAGATAATTAGTTTCCACAAAAAAATAGGAAAAATGCAAATTATTAATTGTTATGCATATGGTATGAAATAGCAAATTTTAACAATATTAAATTAACTTATATATACATACCTAATATATTCACACACAATTATTTCATAAAAAGAAATTATCTTAAATATACAAACATTCACACCCAAAGTATATATAATTAGGCATTTAAAAGAATTTAGAAAATCCTATTTCATTGATCAAAAGGACAATTTGACATTTAGTCTGGGATAATTATTTTTCAATTTTCACAAATAAATTTTATAATGTTTCGAATTTTGAATCCACATTTCTAGCCTTTATAATGCCAAACTTCTATAGATTAATATTGGCTACATTATAATAATAAATATTCAAAAAATAACTTAAATAAGAAAATAGACTTTTTTGTGTGGATTGTGATAATCTCTATCTTATGGTGAAAATCAAAATTCTGACCTGTTGTTATTCGACGTAGCACTGGACCGTTTTCAGAAATATTCCAATGGATAGTTTAGAAGATATTGAAATATACTGAGTGTAAGAATTAGGCAGTGAAGACAGATGCGGCATAATTATGAACAATATAATATTTTAGAGCTGAAAATAAGTAAAAGAGCATAACTAAATAATCGGTTTCCACAAAAAATATATAAGTAAAAGGAAAAGTGCAAATTAAAAATTGTTATGCATATGGTATAAAATAGCAAAATTTTACAAAATTAATTTACCTTAACTATGTCGTTGTTGTGACAAATTACCAGGGTTCGGGACCCCATGAGTAGTCTACAAATGGATGGAGGGAAAAGGGTAGTTTTTGTTGTGATGAAGCACCCGTAGATAGAAGACTGACTTGGCACCGAGTCGCTCAAGAAGGAGAGGCAGTGCCTTCTGGGAGGATATTTAGAGAGAAATACTCCGCCTTTGAGTATCCTATGGAAGAACCCTTCCACCAGGGAGTCTGAATAATTAGGAAAGTTACTGAACATCACAAACGGGATCGAGTCTTCCCGTTATTGAAAGAGTAACCACAACAATGCAGCCAGCGACTAGAATCTCAGCCCGAATGCTCACCAGTGGCGCACGTTGCCACTGAGTTATGAGTCGGGCACCTTAAATATACATACCTAATATATTCGCCCACAATCATTTTATAAATTACCTTAAATATTCAAAAATTTTCATAAACAGAATGTATACAATTAAAAAGTTTAAAAAAAATCCCATTATATTGATTAATTGGACAATTAGCCTAAAATAATTAATGTTAGACTTTCACAAATGAAATTTATCATGTTTTGAATTTTCGAATCCCCACTGTTAGCTTTTATAATATTTTTCTTCTATAGATTAATACTGGTTACATTATAATAATAAATATTCAAAAAGTAAGATTTAAAAAAAAAAAAAAAAAAAACTTCTGTTTAGATTGCTATATTCTTTGACTCTTACTATCTTATAGTGAGAGTGAAAACTCTGGCCTGTTGTTTTTCGACGTGGCACTGGACCGTTTTCAGGAATATTCCTATGGATAGTTCAGAAGATATTGAAATATACGAATGATAAATGCATGGGCTAGTAGGTTTTGAATCTATTTCAACGCTTGAAGAAACTCGGCAATTTCCTCGGAGGGGCCCGGCAGTTAAACTTCAAGCCAGATATAGCCCCGGGGGATTATTTTATTTCTTTTCGGAGGAAGAGCAAATATTTTAGAAAAATCTTTTCCAGCTGCAGCTTTTTTTTTCTTCTTTTACAAACAGGGTTACCGTGGAGCTTCCTTTCATTTGAAACAAGTCCAAACAGGATTTGTTGAATTTTCCATTAGAGATTCAATGCCATTTAGTAAGAAGTTAACTCTTTTAAATTATTATTTTTATAATCGTTATGGAGAATGTGTGAATTTTTTATTGTAAATACACAGATATACAGGGCTTCAAGAAATAGAAAAGTTCAAAACGCGAAGAGAAAAAAGTTATCTTCCTTAATGCAATTTGGAATTGAATAAAAATTAATTTAATTTAATCATCAGAGTAAAAAATAATGAGTAAAATTATCCATAAGAGGAGTAGTTTTATTATGATTGATGTGTGATGTATCACCCATGACTGTTGTGTGATGTATCACCCATGACTGATGTGTGTATTATGACTGTTGTGTGATGTATCACACATGACTGATGTGTGTATTATGACTGTTGTATGATGTATAATTTAAGAAGCATTATAATGGTACACTATTTTCTGAAACAAGTCCAAATAGGATATGTTGAATTTTCCATTAGAGATCATGGCCATTTAGTGAGAAGTAACTCTTGGAAATTATTATTTTCATAGTCAAAATTAAAAAAAAAAAACAAAGAAAAACATTTTGCCCATCATAATGTAAATTGGA